AGTTTTTCAATCAAAATTGTCGAATTTGGGCTTGAAAAATTGCAAATAATTCGCTGAGTTCAATGATATTGTCAGTTTTCAGCGAAAATCAAAAAGAAGCCTAATATAGCCGTTCAAACTCTTGAATTTCGTAGTTTTCACGTCAAAACAGAAAATCTCTAGTTTTCAATCAAAATTGTCGAATTTGGGCTTAAAAAATTGCAAATAATTCGCTGAGTTCAATGATATTGTCAGTTTTCAGCGAAAATCAAAAAGAAGCCTAATATAGCCGTTCAAACTCTTGAATTTCGTAGTTTTCACGTCAAAACAGAAAATCTCTAGTTTTCAATCAAAATTGTCGAATTTGGGCTTAAAAAATTGCAAATAATTCGCTGAGTTCAATGATATTGTCAGTTTTCAGCGAAAATCAAAAAGAAGCCTAATATAGCCGTTCAAACTCTTGAATTTCGTAGTTTTCACGTCAAAACAGAAAATCTCTAGTTTTCAATCAAAATTGTCGAATTTGGGCTTAAAAAATTGCAAATAATTCGCTGAGTTCAATGATATTGTCAGTTTTCAGCGAAAATCAAAAAGAAGCCTAATATAGCCGTTCAAACTCTTGAATTTCGTAGTTTTCACGTCAAAACAGAAAATCTCTAGTTTTCAATCAAAATTGTCGAATTTGGGCTTAAAAAATTGCAAATAATTCGCTGAGTTCAATGATACTGTCAGTTTTCAGCGAAAATCAAAAAGAAGCCTAATATAGCCGTTCAAACTCTTGAATTTCGTAGTTTTTCACGTCAAAACAGAAAAATCTCTAGTTTTTCAATCAAAATTGTCGAATTTGGGCTTAAAAAAATTGCAAATAATTCGCTGAGTTCAATGATATTGTCAGTTTTCAGCGAAAATCAGAAAAGAAGCCTAATATAGCCGTTCAAACTCTTGAATTTCGTAGTTTTTCACGTCAAAACAGAAAATCTCTAGTTTTTCAATCAAAATTGTCGAATTTGGGCTTAAAAAAATTGCAAATAATTCGCTGAGTTCAATGATATTGTCAGTTTTTCAGCGAAAATCAAAAAGAAGCCTAATATAGCCGTTCAAACTCTTGAATTTCGTAGTTTTTCACGTCAAAACAGAAAATCTCTAGTTTTTCAATCAAAAATTGTCGAATTTGGGCTTAAAAAAATTGCAAAAAATTCGCTGAGTTCAATGATATTGTCAGTTTTCAGCGAAAATCAAAAAGAAGCCTAATATAGCCGTTCAAACTCTTGAATTTCGTAGTTTTCACGTCAAAACAGAAAATCTCTAGTTTTCAATCAAAATTGTCGAATTTGGGCTTAAAAAATTGCAAATAATTCGCTGAGTTCAATGATATTGTCAGTTTTCAGCGAAAATCAAAAAGAAGCCTAATATAGCCGTTCAAACTCTTGAATTTCGTAGTTTTTCACGTCAAAACAGAAAAATCTCTAGTTTTTCAATCAAAATTGTCGAATTTGGGCTTAAAAAAATTGCAAATAATTCGCTGAGTTCAATGATATTGTCAGTTTTTCAGCGAAAATCAAAAAGAAGCCTAATATAGCCGTTCAAACTCTTGAGTTTCGTAGTTTTCACGTCAAAACAGAAAATCTCTAGTTTTCAATCAAAATTGTCGAATTTGGGCTTAAAAAATTGCAAATAATTCGCTGAGTTCAATGATATTGTCAGTTTTCGGCGAAAATCAAAAAGAAGCCTAATATAGCCGTTCAAACTCTTGAATTTCGTAGTTTTCACGTCAAAACAGAAAATCTCTAGTTTTCAATCAAAATTGTCGAATTTGGGCTTAAAAAATTGCAAATAATTCGCTGAGTTCAATGATATTGTCAGTTTTCGGCGAAAATCAAAAAGAAGCCTAATATAGCCGTTCAAACTCTTGAATTTCGTAGTTTTCACGTCAAAACAGAAAAATCTCTAGTTTTTCAATCAAAAATTGTCGAATTTGGGCTTAAAAAAATTGCAAATAATTCGCTGAGTTCAATGATATTGTCAGTTTTTCAGCGAAAAATCAAAAAGAAGCCTAATATAGCCGTTCAAACTCTTGAATTTCGTAGTTTTTCACGTCAAAACAGAAAAATCTCTAGTTTTTCAATCAAAAATTGTCGAATTTGGGGCTTAAAAAAATTGCAAATAATTCGCTGAGTTCAATGATATTGTCAGTTTTCGGCGAAAATCAAAAAGAAGCCTAATATAGCCGTTCAAACTCTTGAATTTCGTAGTTTTTCACGTCAAAACAGAAAAATCTCTAGTTTTTCAATCAAAATTGTCGAATTTGGGGCTTAAAAAAATTGCAAATAATTCGCTGAGTTCAATGATATTGTCAGTTTTCGGCGAAAATCAAAAAGAAGCCTAATATAGCCGTTCAAACTCTTGAATTTCGTAGTTTTTCACGTCAAAACAGAAAAATCTCTAGTTTTCAATCAAAAATTGTCGAATTTGGGCTTAAAAAATTGCAAATAATTCGCTGAGTTCAATGATACTGTCAGTTTTCAGCGATAATCAGAATGAAGCCTAATATAGCCGTTCAAACTCTTGAATTTCGTAGTTTTCACGTCAAAACAGAAAATCTCTAGTTTTCAATCAAAATTGTCGAATTTGGGCTTAAAAAATTGCAAATAATTCGCTGAGTTCAATGATATTGTCAGTTTTCGGCGAAAATCAAAAAGAAGCCTAATATAGCCGTTCAAACTCTTGAGTTTCGTAGTTTTCACGTCAAAACAGAAAATCTCTAGTTTTCAATCAAAATTGTCGAATTTGGGCTTAAAAAATTGCAAATAATTCGCTGAGTTCAATGATATTGTCAGTTTTCGGCGAAAATCAAAAAGAAGCCTAATATAGCCGTTCAAACTCTTGAGTTTCGTAGTTTTCACGTCAAAAGTGAAAATCTCTAGTTTTCAATCAAAATTGTCGAATTTGGGCTTAAAAAATTGCAAATAATTCGCTGAGTTCAATGATATTGTCAGTTTTCAGCGATAATCAGAAAGAAGCCTAATATAGCCTTTTTGCAAAAACCGCATTTTTTTCGAAAATTTTTAATAAAGATTAATTTTTTTCTGGTTTTTTTCTTTAAATTTTTTTAATGATCTGAAAAAAACTGTTGGGCAGTTTGATATACCGGAGTTCCTAATATATCCAAGTTTTGTTGAGATTCTTTAACTTTTAAAGAGAGTTTCACTCTGTGTACCCCGACTTGGAACTTCACCGAACGACATTGCGCTGTTCCGCTGCGTGCCTTTAAATTTTTATTTTTTCTTTTAGAACTCGACCAACACGTGTTCCTAGTGGAACAGTCCATCTATCAGAAATGAGAACCAATTCAAAGCGAGATCGAGGCTCGCAGAGACGCTTCGCTACGCAGCGGAACAGCGGAATGTCGTTCGGTGAAATTCCAAGTCTTGGCACACATAGTATAAAGCAATAAAACACGAAAAAAGGGTTGATTGTTTTTTTTCTGGACGGTACTGTAGCTGTTTGCATTAAATAACATCTCGTCTTTTTCAAAGTTTTATTTCACTTTTCGTAAGTAAATTATGCTCGTCATATTTATTAAAATTAATGATTGAGAAAAATAATGCGAAAGAGCCATCAAAACAAAATAAGTGTGACAGGCTGCGTGGAATCGGAAAGAGCTGTTGGTTTGGTGCTACGACAAGAACGAGTTTCCCATTTTCGAGTACTGTATGCGGATATGCGTATTGCGTGCATATCCGCATACAGTACTCGCAAATGTGCATTGCGTGTTTACACTTTCGTTGCGTGACGTCACCAGGTCGGACATCTCCGGGTCTTTTGTTTCCGAGTTTTTTTTTTCGAATAGTTTTCAGTTTTTTTTTTCTTGATACTGTTTTTTATCGTGCAAATATCATCGAGAAAAATGCAAATCTCGAAAAAGCATAAAAAAATTGGAGAATATTCGAAAAAAATACTCGGAAACAAAAAACCCGGAGATTTCAAACCCGGCAGGCTTGTGCGTCAGGCCGGGCGGCCCAGGCTTTGGTCCTCATTTTCAAGAAAAAGCCCGCGTGGGCTCGGGCCGGGCCGGGCTTCAAAAAAAATTTATAATTTCATTTAAAAAATTTTCAGCGAAAGGTGACTTTTACTTCTGAAATCATGGTTTTGTTAAACTTTAGGAGAAAAAAATGAGCATAAACGTAATTTTTTTCGTAAAAAAACTTGATATGCGACTAGAAAAAAATTGCGATTCGGGCCGGGCGGGCCATTTTTTTCTTGAGGCCCGCTAAGGTCGGGCCAATTTCAACAAATAATCAAATATAATTTTTTTCTTGCGATCGTTATATGAGCAGGGGAGAGTTGAAAAAAATCGAGGTGACCAAAATCAGAAGAAAAACAGAAAGACGTTAAGTTATTTTCACAGCTTCTGGACGCGAATGAGAAGGTCAGCTCGTCGGACTTCTTCAAAACTGCGAGAAGGGCTGAAAATGAACAACCTTGTACATTGGGAAAAAAATTGATACTAAACCAATGGATCTTTATTTCAAGTTCCCGTCGATGAAGTTCCCGTTGTCGCCATCCCCTCTGAAATTAAAAGATTTCAGAACCAACGAATAAAAAAAAAGCTAAAAAGGAGACTATGAATTTTTCGAATTTTTATTCCAATTCAAATGATGGCTAACAGACTGAAATGACTCAAACTATGGTTCATAATTCATATTTCAACATCTAAGGCAATCCGAAACTTCTCAATTACCGCCAAATACTGTAAAAGTACAGAGGTTCAAACGAGTTTGCAAAACTCCCAGCTTAAGCAGGCCGAAACAACGAAAAATTGAATATTTCAGCGATAATAAAACTTCGATGAGCTAAAAACTGTGGGATTCTAAATCGAAATATGTCTTGGATTAAATTTAGGTTGAATTGAGTAGAAAAGGCGTTAAATATTCGCTTTAATAAAAAAAACGTATTTAAAATTTTTTTTAAACTCATTTAAATGAGTTCGTAAATACCGACGGCGCATTGTGTGCATGCACCCGCGCGCAAAGGTGCCTGCACAAAAATTTTTTTTGATAAAAATTGCTGGTTTTTGAATTTATTCGAACTTTTGCCGAGCGGGTTTATGAAGATGGGAATGTGTCTTAGCAACACTTTTTTCGTTGCTTAATTGACTCCAATCAAGTTTTGAACGCAAACGGGAATTTCGAAATGAAAAACGTTTTTGAACTTCTTTTTCCTCACCTTTTTAATGCTGTGTTCAAAGTTATTTCCGCGAAAAGCAAAATGGTCTATGACTCTTTCCGTTTTTTTTAAAATTTAATTATATTTTCCTGTCTCTAACGGGTATTTTGCGCTTCGCGGAAACTTTGAACACGGCATAAACGGAAAAATGCGCGATATATTTTGATTTTCCTCTTCAATCTTTTCGATAACGACCTCAAATAATTTATGAAAAGAAGCATTTCATATTGATGATTGATAGTTGTGATACACACAGTGTTTAAATTTAACTTTTTCCACAAATCACTGATGAATCCAAAATTGCGAACAAATTTCGTGTCAGAGCTTTTTTGTTGCGTTTTGAGTCGAAATTCGTATTTTACGTCATGAATTATGTCATACTGCACTTTCTTGCCGATTAAAGCGAATACGCGCGAGAAATAGAAATGTACAAACCCGAAAAAAAAAGTTTGCTGTCTCTATCTCTATCTTCAATTTTTCTAGAAACGATCACTACATGCAAAAGCTGTTTTTGAATTTAAAAAAAAAAGAAATTTTCTGATAAAATTCTTCCTTGAGTCTTCTATTTTTTCAAAACTAGCAAAATACTCAATTTATTTAAGTTCGTACTAACCCATAATCCGCTGTGTGAAGCGCTCCAGTCTCTCGTGGTCGTCCTGAAAAAAATCAATAAACTCGGAAATAGGAATATGTTGAACTTACCTGATCCCACCCCAATTTTTGTGCCCCCAATATTTTTCAAACAAAATAAAGACTTAAAAACGTTTGGTTTGCTTTTGTTCAATATTATTTTCCAACTCTCATCATAATTTTTCGTGGAACCGTATTTTATCTGTGAGCTCTTTCTCGAACTTCGATACCACTTTTTTCAAATTTACTCGAAAGTTGTTCTTTTTTTTCGCATTTCGTCTATTTTCAGCGCAATACTTTTTCTGAAAATTTTAAGTTTTTTTTTGCATAACACCAATTTTGTTCGAGAGCCTTCGTCCGCGCATTGGTACCCGGGCCATTTTTGAACGCGACCTGGCCCGGGACCAGATTTTTTTTTAATTCAAACTCAAATATCAACAGAAGCTATCATATAATGAGTGAAAAGATTTTTTCGGTGAAATTCTGGATGAAAAAATTTTGATTTATTTTTGAATTCGGTTTTTGGTTTGAAAAAGTATAGCAATTTGGAGAAAAGAGTGCAGATAAAATTTTTTGTGTATTTGTTTGAATATGTATTAAAGATTATATTTAGAACGAATTTTGTGTAAAAAGAAAATATATTCGGAGCCTGGTTTGGACTTAGACCATGCAGGTTTTTGGAAAAAAACAAACAAGACTGACGCACAAGCGTGCTCAAGGCGACTGACATGGATTTCAAATAATTAAAATTGAATTTGATAGAAAGATCTAGGAAATTTTCAAACTACTTTTTGGCTATAATTTCTATCATTCTTTTTTTGTGCAGATCAACCGTTTTGAGAATGAAACTGAAGCAGCTATGGAAATTCGAAATCTGAAAAATCGTTTTCTAAAAATAAAGGTTCGCTCATATTGGCAAGTAAGCACCCGCAGATGCTTCCGTCATTCAAAAAAGCAACAGGAAGGTTTCTTAGGAGTTGCCCATTCCGGATATTCAAGGTTTCTTCATTGCGACTTTTCTGGGCAAGTTTATAGGCGCTTATGAAAAATGTTCGCTTTCTTTCTCTTTTCCGTCATTCTGTGAAGTTTAACTTTCGAGATGAAATGAGAATATCCATGAAATGATTTTTTTTTTCCGAGCTTATGCCTTTCATGCCTACTGAGCTTTACGAATTTAATTATATATAAAATTTTCAATCCAAAATGGAACATTTTTTCGAATTTTCATATTTTGATAGGACTAAATAAAAGCTATGAGACGCTAAAAAAAATTATTTTCGGCCATCAAAAAGTGTTGGCTATCTCCAAATTCTAAATTTACCGGTTTCTGACTTTCAAAAAACATTCTTATAACTTTTTCAACTCTTAAAAAAATAATTTTTGCAAAACAGATTGTTTGAACTAGCCACGCACGATCGGCATCGGGACGCACTCGGACTGCGCCACTGGAACTCTTCCCGGCTTGCCTCCGCCTTCCGGATCTCTTCTACCGTAACCCTTCTGAAAAAAGTCAATCAACTCGGTACAGAAACTATATCAAACTTACTTGATCCCACCCCATTATCTAACCCCTTACAATCTTTTGAAAACAAAAGACTTTGAAATGGTGTTTTTTGGAGAGAGCTAGTTTTTAAATCGAGTTTCCTCCAAAAAGCAGTAACTTTGAGAATGAAATGTTTTTGGCAAAATACTTTTTGATATTCATTTACTCCGGAAACAACAACTCGCTCAAAAATTAAAAAAAAACAGTTTTTATTTGAAAAAACGGTAACTTTCGATGCGAAATCCGTAGTTAACAAAAAAAATCTCGTCAAGTTATATGAGCTATTGGAAATAAGTACCTGATGATTGAAAAGTTAGGAAAAAATAAGGAAAATCCTTGTTTCATTTTTAAGTTCTACTCAAAAAATATTCACTAAAAGAAAGAAATTTGGATTCAAAAAAGTTCCTCCTCCTCCGATTTTTAAAATATACAAAATTCCATCCTCCTCCAGTTTTATAAATATTCAAAAAGTCGCCTTAGAGATTGAAAGAAAAAATTCTGATATTTTTAAATCCTCCTCCTCCGATTTTAACGTTCAAAAATGTCCATCCTCCTCCAAATAGTTTTTGTACTTTAAAGGTTTAGATAAAAAAATTCGCGCAAGGTAATTCAAGGCTTTACGAGCGTGAAAAAATGTAAAAACTTTTCATTATTCGCAAAAACATTCTGAAGGCCAAAACGCACTAAAAGTTTTATGATTCCTAGCAAAAAAACTAAGGTTTGAATCAAACGTATAAAAAGAAAGTCTCATTTATTCAAGTCAATAAATTTTGGATTTTTCGCCAGGAATTTCAGCTGTTTAATTTTAAAGCTGTTTAATTTTTTTAAAACTAAAGCTGTTTAATTTTTTTCTCTTTTGAAAGCTGAAAAATAGCTTTTTTGAACCAAACTTTCTCGGAAAATGATTCAAAAAGTTTTGTGATAAACTATTCACTGGGAAATTTGAAATAACTTTGTTCTCAGAAATATTAAAAACTAGAATATTTCTGAAAAAATAAAAAATGAAACATTTTCAGAGTTTTTCAGTTCCCACGACGCTACTGGAAACGCGAAAATGTTTTGCGTGTTCCTTGTGAAAAAAGAAAATTGTTTGAAAAATAAAAAAGTGCTCCGAAACTGAGAATTCGTACAGCTTCGAACGACCGAAAAGTTCTTTTTTACAACATTTTTTCGTTGGACACTATTGAAAAACCAATTCTTTCAGCCAAAATTGTTGCAAATTGACCTAGAAGTCAGTGAAAAGGCGTGTCCAAAGAAAAAAGTGAGAAAATTTCTCGAAAAGCCTAAAAAAAAGCCAAAAAATATGCTCCGAAACAGTGAAAATGAAATGTTCCGCAACGACTAAATATAATAATTATTTTTTGATGAGTTTTTTAGTTTTTACGATGATCACGACTTGAATCGAAATGTAAAACCTTTTGCGTGTTCATTGTAAAAAACGGAAATGATTGGAAAATGAAAATAAAATTGTTTTGAATTCAAAAATTCGCAGAGATTCGAAATGGATGAAAAAAAATGTCTTTTTTTCCGTGGACACTGTTGAAATGAAACTTTTCCGAGCCAAAATGTTTGAATTTTGACTCCGAAAATAATGGAATGGCGTGTCCAGGGAAAAAGCAAAAAGAAAATGTCTCGAAAGGCTGAAAAACGCGAAAAAAATTCTCAGAAACTGACAATTCGTACAGTTTTGAAAGATTGGATGGAAATAAATTGATTTGAAATGAATTTTCCTTGGACACTTATGAAATATGAATTTCTCGAGCCAAAATTTTCGAAATTTGACTCAGAAATCAATGGAATGGCGTGTCCAGGGAAAAATCGAAAAAAGGTCTTTTGACTTCAAAAAATGCTCCGAAACAGTGAAAATGAATTTTTGGAAGTGCTTGAATGGAAAAATTTGATTCGAAAATGGTGAAAAGAAATGGTTGAGAATTGATTTCAATTCATGTTTTTCGATTGAAATCGTCTTGGAGAGCTTTTTTCAGACTCTCCACGATTTTGACATACAAATTTAAAAAAATATCGAGAACAATGAAATGTGATTGATAACCTAAGGGGAACAACTGAAAAGGGGAAGGAGTTTTTTTCGTTTTTCGTTTTATTTTTTTGTATACTCCTTTTTTTCTTTTTTTCTCATTTTACTAAAGGGAGGAAGATCTGCGAGAAGGATAACGCTCCAGAAGAATTTGATTTTTCTTCTCGATTTGACTTCCTTTCATGAATTCGTACGGAGATCTTCGATTTATAACGCTTTTTCTAAAATTCTTCCGTTATAAAAGTTGGACCAATCGGAAAATTTACCATTGATAACGTTTAGTAGATCAGGAGCTGCTTTGAAATCTTGCGACTGCGAAAATTCGAACGAAAAATGCAAGAAAATTGTCCGATTGGCTGGGAATTGATACGATTCCGAGCGATACTCTTTTTGGCCTGAATATTTCTCAAAATTATCAAGTTTTCTGCAAAATAACTCACCATTTGAAGGCCCTGTTTTTCGAAAAGCAGGAAAAAACGGTTTTCGTTTTTCTTGTCGAAGTCCCGCTTTTATTTAATTTTTTCTCTGATAATTGAGCTTTTATCTAAAAAATGTTTAATATGATTTTAAAACTTAATAGGAAACTAACCAAGACAATTTTCATAACATCAGGTTTTCATAGGTGAATTCCATGCCGAAATTATGGCTTAACGGTGATTTTTTTGCCTTTGCCCTTTTCAATCTGAAAAAATGAGAATATTTTTCGAATTTCGAAAATTAATCAACCTTGGGGAGACTTTTCCAAGACCAAATTCCAATTGGGACGGGTAAATATAGAGAAAATGATGATATGAGTAGAACTGATCGGCTTTCTGATAATAGTATGAAGTTCGCTGTTATTGAAATCTAAAATAAATCTTTTTTTCCTGTTGATAAGATAAGGTTACCCACCTGAAGCGTAACTATTCAAAGCCCGGATGAGAGTTGGGACCGGTAAATGTAGAAAATAGGATTATATTAGTATAATATCATGGAGTTTGAAATTATTGAAATCTGAATAAAAATGTTTTTTTCTGTAAATAAGATAAGGTTACCAACCTGGAGCGTAATTTTAGAGAAAATTACTTTTTTTCGACGATAAATGTTCCGAAACTTTTGAAAATGCGGTGGCTAGTTTCCGACTTTGTCCGCTTCAAACTGAAATTTTCCTTTTATCAATGGAGACTCTACTTTTTGATAATTACCTCTTGTTTATTCTTCGAGGATCGCCGCTATCCGAGAAATCAAAACATTATGTCGTAGAGGGCAGAGCTGGATTTTCTTAAGCCGAACATTCTCTTTTGGTCCAGCCCATATCTGCTGCTGAAAGACGTCTTTGCAGCTTTTTCCTGAATTTTCTTCGCATGATTTCCAAGTAGATGAGAAAACTAACCGAGAAGGACTCTGACCACTTGATATTGATATTGATGATTGATGTTAAGCTGGAACCACAGAATTCGCGAGATTTTGCCGGATGGGAAAAGTCCCATCCTTGTGCGAGGAGCTTGCTCATTGATTCGAAACTTTCGGTTTTTCTAAAGATTATCTCATTTTGTCATGTAGAAAAAGCAGAAAACTAACCAAAACCGGAGTTGAGCAAAGTATGAAGTATTGCCGGCTTCATTCTTCCTTCAAGTTTGGATTAATGTCCAATTATTTCCTCATAAAAGCAGAGTTTCCTAAAATTTTTCGTCAATGTTATTCTCAAATCAAAAAGCTAACCATTCATTCACATGGACGGATTCTCAAGTTTTTCTGTGGAATTCGGCTTGATGTGGAGAGATTTGAGGGTTTGCCCAGATGGACAAAAAAAGTGCGAGAGTACAAAGGAAAAAAATAAAAAAACAATTGAGTTGGCCTTTTTTTACTATTTTTTTGATTTTTTTATTTTTTATATTTTTAGTTTTTCAATTTTTTTAATTTTTTCAGTTTTTTTGATTTTTCTTAAGGCTCTTTTTTTATGTTACGTAAATACAATTAAATTAATGAGAAAAAGATAGGAAAAAGGGATGGAGAATGAGCCAAGAGAAGTTGGATGGAAAACTAAGTGGAAAAAGAATCAAGAAATATAACCATGGTACAGATGAAATCAGGCAGAACGAACTGCTCAGTAAAATAACGAAAATTATGAGTAAAACAAAAAAAACAGATGAGTAAAACAAAATTCTAGGGGAAAAAAGGGAAAAAAAACGGAGAAAATTTAAAGATAATGAAAACTATGGCACAGATCAAAAGAGGATAACTTTAAAAATAAGTGGGTAGCGGGGAAGGAAACAGGAGAACTGGGACAATGAAAACTGGAAGGCAACGAGAAAGGGAGCTGAAACATGTGAACTATTCGGATAATTTTTGTTTTCAGTCGGCTGTCGACATGATAACGACGCGAATGGAAATCGCGTACATTTCTCCTTGATCCAAACTCCTAGACAATGAAACTACTTAGGAGAATTTCGTTTGAAGCTGTCGTGGAGAGAGGAACGGGAATGAACCGGCAAGTGGCAATCGCGTACGATTTTCCGCGATGAATTCGCCTAAAGGCGTATGTGGGATTGAGAACTTTTTCCAACAAGAGAGGCTATTCTTGTGTCAAGTTTGGCTTTTTCTGAATCTTTGCTCGGAATTTCTCCAGTTTATTCTTAAAATAATTCTAATCCAATAAGGCAAGGTTAAAAAACTTCCGGAATTCACTTCTTTCAGAGCTAGAAAACTGCTGGGGAATTCATCTAAACACTTCAGAGAACGTTTGAACTGATTTTCATCAAAAAAATGCGAAATTTTACACTAAAATGACCTCCCTTGTCTCTTCCCAACGAGCCCCCCAAAGATTAGAAAGAAATCATGAAAGCAAATTAATTGAGAATTTTCAGGTTTTTCTATCGCTGAAAGAAATATTAAATAAATTATTCCTGTTTATTTTTTTCTCAGCGCGTAGTTTTTTTGATGAGCGATTAGAATTCAAAATAAAAATGAACGATAATTTTTGAGTTGGAAATAAAGAGAGATAGTTTCTCATTGCAAATTCGGCTCTTCAACCAAACAAGTCAATTATTTTTTTAAAAAGCGAAGTTCAAACAAGTTGCTTTTCTGTTCGAAAAAAATGAACGTGACGAGGACTTTTAGCTTTGATTTTTCCAAATTTAGTAAGGTTCACAATAGCAGTTTCTTGAGCTCATTCCGAAAAAGTACTCAAAAACTAGCTTCGAAGCTTGGGAAAATAGGAAACCGCTCAAAATCACAAGAAAAGTCAGCAAAACCATAAAGGCTTGCTGTCTGGAAGGCTTCAAGCAGGTGAAAAACTTCAAAAATGTTCATCCATTGAACTGAAATCTTCCTCAAAAGCCCCTTTTGAGCTGGGATAGTTTTTCGGTCACATAAAAATTGAACGGAGAGACAAGTTTTTTTGTGTTTCAATAAAACTGTTTTCATTTTTGCTGTATGAAAACATTTTCAAATTTCCGAAAACCATCCAATCACTCACAAGTCATGGGAGCGGCGGCGAAAAGTTCATGAAAGAACTATTTCAGCGTCCTCAAGAAGCTCCTTCGCGAATCGTTCAGCAGAAAAGGACTGACGTAATTCTAAACTTATTCTTGACCCACATAATCATGAAATTCCCTTACCTGCGATTAAAATGACTTGTCGACTCGGCGAAAAACTTAAAGAAATCCATTCAGTTTCATCGTCCATCTTCAGACAAAGAGTCTCTTCAGGAAAAAGTGCCAGAAATAACAGGGCAAGGCCTTCAAGATATTTCTTCTGCTTTTCCTGAACAAAAAATAGCTTTGAAGGTTGAATTATCTTCTGCACAACGAAACTTAAATTCAGAAAACTTCTCAAAAATGAAATTGCGCGAATTAAAAACGAGTGTTCGTGAAAACTACCTATGAGTATAAGGTTGAAAAACGACTCAAATCTCATAAGATTATCATTTATTAGTTTTTTTTTCGAAAAAAGCTGAAAAAATAATAAAAAATCGAATCGCATTTTCATAAAAAGAATCTTTCTTATAGGAGAGACACTTTTTATTTTTGAAAACCGAATAATGTCTTTTTTTGGATGAATTATCGCTCTAAATTTTCATTTCTACGACCAACAGAGAAAACGAGCCGTTCGGAATTCTTATTCAATAGAAATGTCTCAAGAAGCTTTTTTTTTCTCGAGCGACATCCAATCCCGGCTATAGAAGCTTTGGATTTTTCAAAAAAACTTCAAACTTTTTCAATCAAGCTCATTGAAATCTAAACAAAAAAACTAAGATTTCAAGTCTATTTTCTTTTTTTTTCTCCAAAAAACGTTGCTTCGAAAACTTGTGTATTTGTTTTTACTTTTGATAAGTTTCTGTAAATCGATTGACAGCTTTTGAAGCTTTTTCGATTCATGAAAGATTTTGATTTTCCATTTATTCAGGGGATCTATATGACTGATTTCCGGAACGAAGTCAAGTTTTTGCGAATTTTTTACCTCAATTTGTCCAATGCAGTTTCAATATTATCGTCACCGTCATTCAGAGAATGACGTCTCCTGTTGTCGGTGGGAACCTTGCGACTGTGCGCAGAAAGAAACAATGTACTGGAAGTCTGAAATAAGTTCTTGGATTATGAGATAAATTCCAATCACGACTTTAACCATCAAAAAAGGTCGTGGGTAATAAAAGAAATAGATCAGTAAGTATTTCAAAACTTACACAATTTGGTTGGGAGAAGGGAGAAAGCGTCAATGGAGAAAAAAATCACAAGACGATCGTCAGCATCAAGGATGGAAAAAACCAGCAATTTTTCCTGAAAGGGAGAAATAAAATGAAGCAAAAAAATTCAAAAAGTTACCTCGTTCCTTGGAGGTTGTACTAACGGTCGACAGACCGCTTTCCACTCCTCCTCGGCCCCAAAAAAAGTAAGTCGCATGGAGAAGATCAAGACCAGTTCGGGATGGGGAGAACTGAAAATAATAATTTGAATTGAAGTCAGAAAATAAATATTTAATTAATTTGTACAAATTTCTGATAAGCTCGGCCGGATAATTTAACGATATTAATATAAAATAATATATTTATAAGAACATTTTTCTTTCCGCTACTATTGAAATAATATGCATCAACGAAGTTTAAAAATTTTAACTTTGTTTATAAAAGTTCTCTCCATTTTTTTCGATCTGATCACCTCTAGACAATTGGTCTTTACGCTTTCAAATACCTCAAAAATAACTTTTGAACAGACAAAATACACTGTTTGATTTTTTTTTACTACAAAAGTTGGCTAAAATGATCAGAACTATTATTTTTTTTCGAGGCTTTTCGATTTTTTTTGTCAAATAAAGATCTTGAATGAGCTCAAATAATGGCGAACCAACAATCATCCCTTGAGAAGAAATGAAGCCATTTTGTGCTTTTAAAAAATTAAGTCTTTATTCTACATTCAAAAAAAAAATTGATGGATGTGAAAATCAGAAAGTAAGAAATATCCAACCCAGCCTAAAACCAAATGGCACAGAACAAGTCTGCGCCAAATGATTTCAATTTCAAGCTACGAAACTCTCAGACTGTTTTTTATAGCTAATCCACGGCTGGTTTGAGATATCGAGAAAAGGGGTCCTGACATGATAATGCACGAGAGAGTGCCTGGTTCGTGGAGAGCGCAGACAGGCCACGCCCCCTTAGTGCCTCAAGTTAGCCGTGAATCAGCTATATCTATTTCCCACGAATCAAGCCTTTTTTGATAAGAAAATAACTCACCAAAAAATGTGAGTGGAGAGAGAGAGATAGGCGAGCACAACGAAAAGCTGGCGGATGGGAGGACCTTAAAATAATAAAATTTTCAACGGTTCATTTTCACAATATTGTGTTCATTTTCACAATACAATGTTTGTTAAGAAGGAAGTCAAGTTATTTTGATTCAGCTAGTGAGATGAATTTGAAAACAATTGAAGGCTACACTTTCTCAGAAAGAGTCGAGTAAAAAATCAAACATCATTTTATTCGGTTATTTTTTGAAGAAAAAAAAAGAAATAGAAAAGCAATATTTTTTAATTTGACTGAAAAAAGTCTCATGTTATGCCGTGTTCAAAGTGATTTCGCGAAATTCAAAATAGCCGTTAGAGAAAGAGAAAGATAACTAAATTTTGGAGGGTCAGAGACAATTTCGCATTTCGCGGAAATTACTTTGAACACGGCATTACTGGGATAAGTTTTAGGGGGCCCTATAGGGGGTCTGCAAGTGGCCTTTTTAGGGGGAAATCCCTAGGGCCCCCTATAGGGGGTCCTAAATCGCTCCCTAAAAATTGCAAGACCCTCAAGGGGTCGCGAAGACCCCTTGGAACGAACGTGGTTTTTTTTTTTAAATATCTTTCTCATTTTCTAAGTTTTGAGTTGACTCAGTTTTAGTTTAACTTTATAACTTGTATTTATATTTCATCAATTTCTGTGGTGCTTAAGGAAGTTATACGTTATTCACGAACGAGTTGTCAGTAGGATTTTTTCGTTATGGTTTCAAATTGTATTATAATGATTTGTGCTTCATAAAAGTTAACACGGCAATCTGTACATTGGTTCAGTATTTTCAGTGTTTCGTTTATGTACAATTGATATATTGGTTTATGTATATATGTTCAGAGTATTTTTTTATTTTTGGTATTTTTCAGAGTTTCGTCTATGTATAATTGGTCTACTGGATTGTGTGAAACCGTCAGAAATTCACCGGTAGATGATGTTTGTTGGAGGTTTTTTTGATGTAAATGCGTGTTTATATATTCTATTTGATTATTGCTCGTTAAAGAAGACTTAATTTTTCATTAAGATGCCGCGGAGTCGCGATTTTATTGATGCGCATTGGTTCTACAGCAGCGATGAAGATTCTGAAAGGTATATCGAAAATGTTGATAATGATAAATGATCGTAGAAGCACGGAATCAGCCGACGGAAGTTTTGAGCCGCCACATGAACCAGAATCAACGGAAGATTACCGCGGGCCGAGCAATTCAATAAGTTGCTTTCAAATGTCAACGTTGGTTGTTTTTTGCTCACTGTTCAATTGTTCTTTTTTATATGTGCCAAACTTTTTGCCCCTTATCTAAGTAGTTTCAACCGTTTCCGTGTCGGAAGTCCCAACATTTTTTATTGAAAGTTGCCCAACCATTTGCCTTGACACAACGCGCTTTTCTTCTATTTTTTCGCAAGTAGCGCTTATATCAATATGCTTTAGGCGTATCTTTATTGTCTTGAAGAGCTTCTATTAGATTGATCAATACGGTTTCCGTTGGCAGTGATTTAGACGTGTCAAATATTTATACGGGTCTTTTACGGCCAAAAGTTTTTTTGCTTCCTCGAATATCCTGCTACGTATACATATCTTCAGTTTTTTTGCTCGTTGTTTTTGTTACTTATGTCTATCTGTTTCCATTGATGATCCTGATTGCTTTCAATGTTTTTCAATTCCTTTCAATAAATTTGGAAACAGTTTCAAACGCAATGAGATGAGTTTACTGCGGATGTGTTAACGATTCGCATTCAATAAGGGTTTCTCTATTTCCTCCCGGAGCTATTTCAGAAATTTTCCGTGCCCCCCCCCTAAAGGGACCCCTAAAAAAATTCGTAGGGGTCCCTATAGGGTTTCATTTAGGGACCCCTATAGGGCCCCCTCCAAGGGGCCCTAATTTACCCCCTATAGGGCCCCCTAAAACTTATCCCAGGAGGTCATGTACTCGGTCTAATCACACCGACGCAATTACGCACATTAAAACTTTTATCTGTGTTTTATCAACAAAAAAATAACTGTTAATAGCGAGGTTGCTTGCAGTACATTGAACACCTCAAAACATGTTTTGTTAAAAAAGCTGCTTCTTAAATGCGGCGGTTTCGCATTTTCCTCGGGGCGCTCTCGCATTTGGAGAATTTTCCGTAATGCGAGGTCGCGGCTAAAAAAATGCGAGGCCCGCGCCACGGCGTTCCAAAAGGGAACCTCGCAGTAGAGAAAAATTAGGCAGAAAGTACCGCGCCTCAATTGCAGAAAACTGGGCGTGGTTTAGTTTTGTATTGGGAATTCAAAACCCTATTTCTTGTTACATTTTCGTTTCTGAGTGTTACTGCTGTGTTTATACTGTTCGTCAGCTCTGACTTCATATAAGTTGGTTGTGTCATGTCGCTCCTTGGCCGTTTACCGCTTTAGTTGAGGCAAAACGAAAAAAATGATAATTCGCGAGTTTTTTTAATTTACATGCCATGTATTCGACATCTTTCTGCTTGATTCATGTGCAGAATGAGTTTTTTTCTACAATCTAAAAATTGTTCAAAAAAATCTTTGTCGGCAAAAAAATAATTTTTTTAAACTGAATTTCATGGAATCTTGTCAAATTTTGGGTGTTCCGCGCGAAAGATTAAAAACTTTGTGGTATGTCGGTCAATCTTTTTATTTTTGATAGCTGAAAATGTTCACACAGGTTCATTCGAAAGAACATGGTTAATTAGAGAATCGGAAAAAAATTTTTTTAGAGAACACCTGCGAAGATCGCAGAACTACGCAACAAATGAGCGTTTTTTTCCATTATCATTCTATGTGATTTTTCGTCAAAAACTTCTCAACAACATTCATTCAAATTTTTTTGTTTTACGTTTTACTATCATTCTTTCATCTTTTTAAACAACGAATACCATAGGCTTATAGCTGAAAATTTTTTTCGTAAAACCGATTTAAAGGTTGAGAAGCAATTATACGGATAATTGCCAGTGAAACTTCATCGAATTGCTTCTTTATGTTTTGAAAGCTTCCACTTTTCCATGGACATCATGATAATCACAAAAAATACTCTGAATTCAATCGAAACATCTCAATTTCTTAAAATTTCGTTTTTGACATTTTCTGTGAATTTTCAAAAAAAAGTTCTGTTGCGCAAATACGCTCCAACGAACGCAAGGGCGCGGTAAAATGACACGCCTCATCGGCTCGCTTGCGAATTCCCTTTTGGAACGCCGTGCGCGCGGGACAGAGCGAGATTTTTGCGAGTTCGTCAATGTACCGCCAGCGAGTTCGCTTTTTCCCCTGTGCCGGATTGATTAGTTATTTTTTTAGTTATCTTTCAATGACTACTTTTTCCAGTTCTCTCAAACCAACAGGGAATTTTCCGGCATTTTTTTCATTTTTTGGCATTTCATTTTTCTCGCTTTGAATGTCATATTCACATGTTTCAGTCAGTTTTTTTCGTGACCTTTCAAAGTTTTTTTCTTTTTTTGGTTTTAATCGATTTGTCACTCCAAAAAAACGGCTCCGCTGTATGTTTTTTTCATTTTGTTATTTTTCAATTGAAAAGCGAATATTTTTCTCCAAGTTTCCTGATTAAAGTTATTTTTTTCCGATACGTTATCGTTCTTCGCGGTAATTAAGGACTGGAAAAGGCTGAATTTGAATGAGCACTACAGACATACATTTGCGAAATGACTCAATTTATTGCTTTTTTTTTTTGACTTTTTGAGACACTGACCTCAGAACAGTCGCGAGAGGCTCTTTTTCAGACTCTCGAGGTCTTGCAAGTCCTTGGGAGATGACGGGAGATTCCTCGAGAGTCTGCGTGCCGTCGAGAGGTGCCTTCCCAATTTGACTACGACAGCGAGGTTCTGGATGTAAACCCCGCTGTCGTAGTCCGCCAATCTCTTCTTGATCGATGCGCCGACTTCGGCGGCCGTCAGCGGCGCCAGAACTGCCAACGTGATCGGCTGGGCGTCCACGGGCGGCTTGGGCTGGGGGCCAGGGAGCCTGTTGCCGATCCTGCTCGACCTCTTGAGAACCCCCCATGACCGCCTGGGCGCGCCGTTGCTGAAAAAGATATCGTTTGTTTTCATATATTCAATAGAAGAGAAAAACGAAACGAAACTACTGAAACTAATCCAATCTAATTTTTTTTTTGCAGTTATCATTCTTGTTATTTTTTTTAAATCATTGAAAAAAGAATCAATTCGTTCGAATTTTCGCTCTATGACTCTCGTTTTCCACAAGGTTTTTTTCATTTAACTAATGTTCAAAGTAACAGTTTTTAAAAAATATTTCGTGAGTTTTTTTCATTATATATGAGACTTTTTTTTGAAGTACTTTGCTCGAATTCGGAACAATAATCGCTTTTTCTTCATGAGAATTCATAATTTTTTTCAAAAATTTCGCTTCGTTTTTTTCGTAATCATTTTCAGATTCGAATCTTTTTCCGAAATCATTGAATAGGGCTGTAACTTGTAGTCTATGATTATATGAAAACGCAAGCAGCTGGAGTTTGAAGAAGAAAAAGCTTGGTGTTTATTTTTAATTTTTCTTTATTTCAAACTTTTTTTTTCTGATATTGAAAAAAATTCAATCATAATTTTTTTTTATTATTATTGATGTTTTTTCTTCGTTTTTTAATTATTCAAAAAAAGGTAATCCAAAGAAAAATAGAGATACTTTTGGTAAATTAAGGAAATTTTTTACAGAGAAGTGCTCGTTTTTTTTAGAATTTTTCCTAGAAAGTTTATCAGAGCTTCCGGTTTTCTTTTTTGAATTCCTATGGAGCAATTGATCGGGATTTTGCACGGGTTTCAAATTTCCAACTGACATCGTAAATGAGTCTCTTCAGAGAGGTTGGCTATTGCATTGATTAGGATTTTACTTTTCAATCCAGTGACAAGAAAAGTTTCATACATTAATATCATGAAAATTTTAGTCGTGTAGTTGCGTTTTCTTGTTCGAGTGGAGAGAACTTCATTACTAAAATAAGTTACAGTTTTTCATCGCGATTTCAAAAAGATAATCTGAAAAAACTAGTTATCCAATTACTAATTTCAAGTATATTGTTTAGAAATTTTTCAACTTTCTTTCATTTCAGATTCATGCGCGAGAATTTACCGCAATGACAAACGATGAATGTAACTCTTTTTCTACGCGTGTTTTGATTTTGATAATTGTGATTTCAAACAATTTGTATTCAAAAAACTGCGTTATTATGTAGATTGTCAGAATCGAGAAGGAAAGCTGTTTAGGATGATTGTTGCATCTAGATTTTCACTGGCTGAATGGTTCAAGATTCTCATTTCATTATTGATGACCAAAACTAACCCGTCTCGTTGGCTGAGCTGGCGGCGTGGGCGGCGTCCTTGGTGGCGTCGTCGGAGGCTGCGGTGATCGTGGCGGGGTCGACGGGGCCGGCGATGTTGTGCCGGAAGAAGAGGACTCGGCGAGCTCTTCTTGGTCGCTCTCCGGGACGACCTCGTCCTCTTCTTCCAACTCCGGCTCCCCTCCTTCTTCTCCTTCTTCGTAGCCCGGAGTGGCGTCGTGGCCATTTCTGGCTTGCTCGACGCCACGTTCCGGCGTGCGGAAGACGTCCGGGCTTTCTCCTCCACTTCGCGACCTCTTGACGGAGGGTCCGTCCGAGTGGGAAGAAGAGCTTCTTCTCCGCTTCCTGGGACTTGCCTGGTCCATCTAAATTTGTTTTTCTGTTAATTTTCAAGTTGGAAGAATATGAAGTATCCGTAAAACTTTCTTTCTCTCTCTTTCAAATCTACAAACTCTTTCCGTAGCCCTGATTTTCATTTGAAGAAATAGGAAGTTCAAGAAAATTTTTTTCCCATTTCGTTTAATCCCGATCTCATTTTCAGAAACCACAACGGCAGGCCTTTCCAATTTACCTTCACTCGAAAATTCTCAGGTACACTGATTCGAATAGCGATAGCTTTACATAAAGAATTAGCAGTTTGAAAAGTTTTTAAAAATAGCTTTTAAAAAAATTAAATAGCTTTCGAACTTTTTTTCACCTATTTTATGAAAGAATAAAACTATCAAGGGTTATCATTATTTCACTTCAATAACAATAAAAAAATTACATAATTCTTTTCAAAAGTAATTTATTGAAACGCTCTGAAAAGTTTGAATCTTTTTTTGAAGTCGAAAGCTTTTTATGTTATAGAAACAGTTTATTTTATTATGATCCGGTTAAAGAAAGGATTTCGGCTAACTTAGATATTATATTGAGAAAAATTAGAAAGTATAATGCCGTGTTCAATTTGATTCCGCGAAATGCAAAATGGTCTCTGACTCTCCAAAAATTTAGTGATCTTTTTCCTTTCTCTAACGGGTATTTTGCATTTCGCGGAATCAAATTGAACACGTCATAAAAAAATAAAATCAAAATTATTAGAAAAAGGCTCCGAAAAAAAGGAATTCGAGACATAGACTGAAGCTCTCTAAACCAGCTTCGTAATGGATTAAACGTGATTTTTAAAAAAACTTTTTTTCAAATTGGCAGAGGTCGCCACTTATAGTTGTGATCGGGCGTGAAGGAACTGCGTTATTTTTTTCTTTTTAAAAAGAATATTTGGTCTAGAAGCCGACTTTTTTTCCGTTGTTGTCATTATTTTTGAAAGTCTTCGCAGTTGAAGTTCAAAAATACTTGAAGTTTCCTTTAGATGGGTATTTTTTTGAAATTGATATATTAATTAAGCTTTTTTTGTTGAAGGTTTTTAATATGAAAGCTAATCGCCGACTTCGGTTGTCTTTTTATTTAACCCACAGAACTTTCACAATTTTTCTGAAAAAGAATTATCGAAGAGCTAATTTCATGTCGAGACAGAGATTTGAACTTTTTGAAAAGACTCTTGAAGGCGTTTTTTTCATAAAGTGCAGTGCCCATAGTGCCCGCGACAGCTTCGAAAATAAAAATTTCATGAAAAAAAATCCTCACTTCAGGGCGGAGAAGAAGCTCAGCTTCGTCCTCTTGCGGCTGGATCTCGGCGGCCTTAAATCATTCACTTCGTTGCTTAATTAGCAAAATGTTTGTGTATATATTTTTTAATTCAAAGGCTTATTGTAAAACGGAAAATATGAAAAAGTCTGATTTCGAATATAACTTGGAATTTAAACTCTGAACTTTGAAATAGATCCTTTCACAATTTCATGGCCACTAGTACTAGATAATTTTTTTATTTTAAAAAAAGAAAATCTCACCAGCTCCGCTTCGACGGGGATGTCGAGGGCCTGAACGGCGGCCTAAATGATATTCAAATTAATTTTTTTCTATGTTTTTTATTGGTTTCTGATAACTCGTCCAATCGATTATTCCAGACTTGAAAGGAGGTTACTATAAAAAAAGGCAAACAAATATTTCGAACTAAAACTTTTTCCGATTTTTTTCATATCTCTAGGGAACTATCCAACTTTTTTTCTCTTTTTACTTTTTTTCGGTTTATAAAGCATTTATTTCATATTTTTTATTTTTTTGTGTTTTAATCATGAATCGATTACCTACTTTATATAGGAACATTTAAAAAAATAAGCGTTTAAAAAAAGTCGGAAAAACTCCGTCGAAAAGTTCCCTAGAGATATGAAAAAAATCAGAAAAGTCGCCGTTCGAATTTTTGCTGGCCTTTTTTTTCATACTACCGAAAGGAGTGAATGTTGTAATAAAGAGCTTGACTATTGACTATTTCAACACATCAGCTTTGATTGAGATAGAGAAGAGCTTCAGATGGATTCGATAATGTTTTGAAGTCAAGTCTGATGTGGTTTAACTAGTAACTGCTCTCCCAAACTTATACAGGTGATTATTTCAGTTTTAAAGTAACCTGGAGTTGGGCAGCCAGCCTGCCTTTCTCCTCCTCGGCTTGGGCGAGCCTGGCGCGGAGAAGTTGAAGTTCCTGGCGCAGGACTTCTTCTGCAAATGATTTTATTAATGAATTCATTAAAAAGAGAAATGACCTCTGGCCAGGGAACATCCCAGCGCGAGGGTCGTCTGGGCGAGGTTGACCGCCAGGCGGCCGTTTTTCGGCGTTCGCCTCCGTCGCCTTCTCCTTTTTCCTCCCTATAACATTATTGAATTGATTGAAAGGTCTCAACTGTTTTGTGACTTCAATTTTATTTTCTGTGAATATTTTTCTCAGCTTGGTTTCTTCTCACTTTGATGATACACTTGCTTAAAATCGCGACCGAATAATTCTTCAATCACACTTTTTCTATCATAATTTTTTCTCTGTTCAACATTTTTGAAACTTCTTGCAGTTTGAAACAATTTTTTCACTCCAAGATGATACAGCTTTTGGACGATACGGTCCAGTTCTACAAATAAAAAATCGACATTTTTGAAAAAGTAGTATCTTGGTTTTATGCGAAATTCGATCTTTCAAAAAATCGGTTTCAGAATCGAATGATTATTTTTTTCTGTATAAGACTTAGTTTCATCTTCTAGTTTATTCAGTTCTTATTTGGACTTCTGATAAATTCGTACCTCAACTCTTCGTCTCTTTTTTGAGCTCTTTTTCGAGCTCCTCCTTTTTTTCTCCTTTTTCTTCGGCCCACGCCTCGTCGGTTTCCGTTCCGGCGTCCTTTCTCGGTGGTCCTGAAAAAAAGGTTTAAATATTTTTTTATCTGTGATATTGATTTTTTTATTTCTCGCTAGGGAACGTTTTTTTCAGCCCCGGGTTGAACTTACGACGATACTTCGCTAAATTGCTTTTTTTAAGATCTCCCTCGGACATTGGTAACGCGAAACGGACGTGCTCCGGACGACTCTGCGCGATTCTAGGAATCACTTGAGAGTTCTGAGGCTACTAAAGTAGTCACTAGAAAGGCCCCGACACGTCCGATTCGCGTCCCATTCGCCTCACCAAGGTCTGAGCCTAAATAAAAAAAAACCTATATCCGGTTCTCAGGGTTAGGACGCTCCAACAGCTTTATATATTTTGTTTATGGAAAAAAAAGTATATAGAAAAGAGCTGGGATTTCTTTCTTTTCAATTCAAATTTCACTGGTCTCGCTGTTTTTTTCCATCGTTGAGTTAATTTTGAATAGTTGACAGACTTGATATAAGCTGCAAAAGGGCGAAAAGTTGTCAAATCCCTTTTATTCATTCATTTTTTTTTCTTTTCGGTGAAGTACTTCTAGCTGTAAGCTTTGTCCTAGTCAGGTACTGATGTGGATCTTAAATATTTTTTCAAACAATTCAATTTTTCGATTTATTAAAAAAATTTCATACTCGAAATCTCCGTATTTGATCAAAAAAGTTCGACCTACTAATAATGATCAACTCGTAGAGAGGATAAAGACTTTTTCTTCTCATTTTTGGACGGATTTTTTTCGTCTTCCTTATCATGGTTACAAATTTCCAAGTTTCCAGAAGCTTTGCAGCCTATCTAGAATTTGAGCAAAAAAATCGTGAACCGTTTTTTTGCTGGAAGCTTGAAAAAGTTGGATTCGTCAAGTTAGCTGAGAATCGTGAGAATGACTGATACTTCTGAAACTGTTCTGTACCTCCGTGCTGAGTCCTGGCCTTCAGCGTATCCAGGAAGTAGCGGATACGCTGTTCTTGGGCGGCCAGAGCACGGTCGACCACTCTTTCCGGGAGCCGCTGAAAATGTTTTTTTATTGCGGTGGTCAAAAAAATATTTTTTTAGAAAATTTCATGATTTTTCGTTATATGCTGAAACGCATGAACTTTTCTTATTTTTCATGCGTCCAACTCTCGCAATTATTTCTTTTTCTTCGAGTATTCTTTCTGATGCGTGAGAGCTTTCCCATGTGTCTACGAAAAGGAAAGTGCGAGCTATTTCGCAAAAGTAGGAGCTTGTATTTCGCAAAGTTGAGGTGTTCCGTTTTATCGAAAAAAAGCTCACCGCGGTTTGATTGCCGCAGTCGCGGCTTAGGGCGGTCCTCCTGAAATTTCGAATTATTAATTATTCGTAATTGAAAGGTTTTTATTCTTGAAATAAGGATAAATATATAGGAAAAATTTAAATTTTTTTAAAAATTTTTCAAAAATGTCTCCATCAACATTTTCGCGCAGTCGAAGCGAGTATTTATGTGAAATCAGCTTGAAAAAGTCTCACCTGAGCTTCAAAATAGAGCTCAACATCCTGTCCTTCACGCTGGACCAGCACCTCATCGAACACCCACCTCTCCTAAATAGATGACCGTTAAATAATTTTTTTTTTCATTTTTCATATTTATTGCTTCAATTTATTCATTAATAACAAAATTCTTTGAATGTTTTAAAGAGAATTCCATGAGAACTATTAGATTTTTGAAGATTTTTTTCGGAGTGACTTTTTCCGGGAAAAGAAAGTTGTTGTGTTATAAAATTCGAGCACTAAGGTCTCAAAAATATATCAAATTCTAGAAATTTAATTCTATTGAAGACTTATAAAATTTGAAGATAACTGATGAAAAATAAAATCATACAAACTTCGAAAAAAAAACTTTAGAAACGCCTGAGTCGATTTCTGAACGCTCAGCTTCTTCGTTTACTTAGTGAGAACAATTTTACTATAAAATTCAAGTAAACGAAAAAAATTAGCGAAATTTCTTCTCATCTTTTCCGTTTTCGCAACGCTGATGCTATCCCTTTTTTTTCGAAAAAAAAAAATCCAACCTCGTCGGTTTGTGAGCCGACGGATCTTGTGGCCTGAAAATTTGAAATTATTTTTTTTTGTGAATTCTTGTAAATTTTGGCCCTGAAAAACCTTCATATAAATATACTCGGAACGAAATCCTATTGCTAAAGATAGGAATTTTCAAAGTATTAATATTTTTTTCGGCAATCGGGCAAAGCTTGAGTTGCTAAGGTTTTCATCCAAACGCAAATTCTGCTCCGATTTTTATTCTTGAAAATACCCGTGTTCAAAAAAGTTTAGAAAGAAAAAAGAAAAGTCTAATCGTTCATTTACAGTCGTTTTTTTCAGGTTGGGACATTCAAATTGGTTGTCGGTTTTTTTCCTTCAAGTTTGAAGATGATGTGTTTTTTTATTGGAATGGCCTTAATTTTTTTCTAAAAAAATTAACAGAAACCTACAAAAAAAGCCAAAAAAAGTTTAACTCCTTGCAGTTTTTCATCTTTCGAAGTTTTTGAGAATCTTTTTTTGGCTGGGAGAAGTAGAAAAATTAGCAGAGCAAGAAAAAGCTCAAATTACGGTAGTTTCTTTTCTGTCTCGATACAAGATGAGAGCAATTTTACGAGACATTCCGAGACGAAATCTCATCTCAAAACGTCTCGAAAAATCTGAGGAGTTCAGCAAAGACGTTGAAGTTTGATATAAGACTGATTTTTAAATTATATTTTTAGGCTAATTTTTAGAATTATTCAACTCAGTCTGTGTTCGAATCGAACAAAAGATTTGAAAAATTCTATGAAATAGCCATTTTCTCTCCGAAAAAAATAATTTAAGAAAAAAAAAACGAACCTGGTGGATGTTCATCTGGGCGTCCATTTTGCAGGTTGTTGAATAATACTGAAAAAGGGAAATTAATTTACTATTATCGTTTTTTTTTTGTTTTCTTTTTTTTTCTGATTATTTTGTCAACTTTTTTGAAATTCAGATGCAAACTTGTTCTGCGCCATTTACGTTTAGGCTTAACTTTCTATCGAGATTCAAAATCGATGATTCTGAAACAGCCTTGATTTTCACCGAAAGCCATACGGTTATCTCCAATTTGGCTTTTTTGAATGGAAATTTATTAACCGTGAGTTCAAAATCGGCTTCATCGAAGTCGGAAATTTTTTAGAAAGAACTTGAGTGTACATCAAACTTTGAAATTCTCCAAAAAATTGACATCTTATTTGCTAAAGATAAAAAAATGATCTCAACCTTGCTAATATCTTAGTTAGCCAGAAATGCATACTTTTTGAGTTTCAGAATCAACGATGTGAGCATGAATAAAAGTTGAGCTTCTAGAAAATATGTTTTTTGTTGATATTTTCAAAAAAAAAAATTTTATTTATTCCTCACATTCTTATCACTTTCGATCCGAAGAATCTCAGACTTCACTCAGGGTTTTGTGCTAGAAATCTTATGTTATTTATTTTGCATTTTTGTTTTTCAACGCGTTTTGAGACTTGAAGTCTTTTTCTCATTAACAATGCATCAGAGCCTTCTTCCGGAATTCTAGTTCATTGGTGCTAAATTTCAGACAACTACTGCGATGTAAGTTAATTTCTTGTTCACACTGAGAAAACCATGATTTTCAGAATAACCTTAATGAGAACTTCTTCTCGGAGACCGCAAAGCCAATTCTTTCTTGATATATTTTTCATATACAATTCTGGACAGAGATGTAGGAATTGAGTGAATGAAACAGAAAACCTCTTTCTTCCAGCTCACAAATTTTAAACAATCGATCGAAGTCTTCTTGTACTAAAACGCATCAGCAAGCGTCACTTTTTAAAGTTTTTCTTCATAAATATTATGCTTGATCTCACAGATATATCACAATTTAACGAAATGTTTTTTTCAGAAGTTTACCGCGACTTTCTCTCGCATTGTATCGGGTGCGAAGCTTATAAAGCTAACGGTGGAGCGCACTTCCTGCACTTTCCTGCTTTATTCAAAGAAACCTGCTGCATATTACCACCTTTTTTTGGTTCCTATTTATCTAGGCTGATTTTGGCATATGCTATATACAGTACGTCTTGTGAAGGAATTTCGAGTCTCTTGATGTTGTATTTAATAGACATCCTAATGAAACGAACTTGAAATGATTTTCTTTTGTTATTTCATAGCGCGAAATCGTTCAATTACGCTTTCATACTTTTACCTTATAATTCAAACTTCTTCCGCCTGAATTTCGATGATTACCAGTGTCTTGAGAATATATGGAAATTCCACGGAAATAATTGGAAAAATTGTTTTCGTGTATACTTAATTCATCTTTTTATTCAGTTTTGTATCGGTGAATTTTTTAGTTTTGTCAATTCCGAAAATTGAAATATTGATCAGTATGGGAGTTTGCGTCGATAGTCTACACACAGCAAGCGTCAAATCTTACGCGCATTGGCGCGCTAAGTTTGTTACATTTCTTGTATTTCTATGATTAAATCAAAACTCTAATAGTTTATTCATTCTCTGAAAAAATTGAGAGCTTGTAACAGAAAGAAAGTAGGATAGACGCGTTGATTTTTCCACGGATGATGTTCTTGTAAAAATAAAGTGTATTAGCTGGAAGAAAGAGGTTTTTTTTTTTCAATTTTCAACTGTTTCGATCTACACGTGTCGATATCTCTATTTCAAATATTTTTTCGAATACAAAAAACTGCGGGGCTTGGCGGTCTTTAAACAAAAAAAACTAGGCTTGACGGAGCTCTCAACACACACACTAGCTTCAAATAATTGAAGTTTTAAATATAAAACGAAAAAATAACCAACCTTTTATCAAATGCAGAAGCAGTTGTAAAATTTGTTCAATACTGTTTTTTTTTTCACTTTTTCGATGTGGTCAAATTTGGTCTACGTGGGTTTTTTTTTTATTTCTTCCGCGTGATCATATTTGGTCTACGTGGCTATTTCATCGACCTCTCTTGGCATGTCTAATTTTGAAGATTTTCAGATTCTTTTTAGAGTTAAAGTTATTTGAATTCCAATCGAAGTTTTTTTCAGGGAAGGGAAATCTTTTTCTTGCTCCTTGAAAATTTTTGATCGGCGCCATCATTTTTTTATTTTTTTATATTTCGCGAAATACGAAATTTCGTAATCTAATTATATTTTTGCCTCTAGTTTCAGGGCATGTTCGCATTTCAATTTCATTTGAACCTGGATAGCTTCGACTTTTCGGCCATCATCTTTCTTAATGATCATGTTTTCCAATGCTTCACAAAACAAAAAAACTTGGTCATGACCAAAATACTCCTGTTGATTATATAAAATGGAGTAATTTTTTTATTCGTCAATTTTTATTTTTTCATGGTTTGTTTTTGATGCTGGTGCTTTCCATTCAAGTTTTTGATATTTCAGGTTTTTCAGATTGGATATAACACCCAATATTGCTGACTATCACATCGAGAATAATGCTATATCGTTCGCCTCTCGCTGCGACCTCGCGAACGTCTTGCGCTATATCGCTCTCTGAAAAAAATTTTTTTGTTCGAAAAAAATGTTTTTTTCTTGATTTTGATTTATTTCATCATAATAATCAAAAAAATTAAGCAAAAAAATGTTTTTTCTAATTTCAAATTTTTTTGAGAGGGAGCGATATGGCAGCGAGACTAAGACGAGGTCGCAGCAAGATCCCTTGGCTATATCGCCTGCGGCCCGCTGCGATATAGGCAATTATGTTGGGTGAATATTGACAGTAGGAGGTTTTTTTAAAGAAGAGAATTTTTTTATTAGTAAGCTCGTGCAAAATTTATACAAACTCAATATCGGCTTATACATATTTGATCGATGCTTGAAGAAACTTCACGGTTTTTGGCGAATATAGTTCTTTCCGGAGCTGATTTGTTTTTTCACTCGGTAAAAATATTTTTCAACTCTTTAAAAAGCTCCTAAAAGCACTTCCCAGGATTTATCATAGTTCAAAAACTTTTTCTTCGTTTCTTGCAGTTTTTTTCTCTTTTGTTTTACCTCATTTTTTTCAGATAACTGAGGCACGGACTATGTAATTACATAAACCGAAAGTGCGTCACTAATGCTTCACTATTTAGTCGTCACAGAACGTTTTTATATAAAAAGAGAAAAAAACTGCAAGAAACGAAGAAATTTTTTTCTTTTTTTCATATCACCAGCGAAGATTCGAACGGCGACTTTTTCTGACTTTTTTTCATATCGCTAGGAACTTTTTTTGACGGAGAAATTTCCGACTTTTTTTATCCTCATATTTTTTTCGGTTTATAAAAAAAGTCTGTTATTATCTTTTTTTCTTATTTCTTTCTCCTTCATGTACCACCTCTCCGCGGTGATGGGGATCAACGACCATTTATGGCGGCAACGTCATAAATGGCGGCTAACGGTGTTTATCATGTATCAACTACCTCCTTTATACAGAAAGTTTCAGAAAGAAGAGTTTATCGATAAAAAAATGACGGAAAGGTGGCCGTCGGAAAGTTCCCAAGCCATATGAAAAAGTCGCCGTTAGAATTTTCGCTCGTCTTCTTTTCATACCACACAACTTTCGTTGGTCATCTCGCTCTTTTTTTGTAATATAGTGTGTTCAGATTTTTGAATGTCAACCAGCAAACTCCGCCCCTGCTGAGACGGTATATCCCATTCACGGCTGACTCGGGACAGCGAACGGGCGGTTTAATTTTCGCGGCGAAGGTAGATCATGGCGACTATCCATGCGCTTTTAAAAAGATCCTCATTTGATGAAATAATTTTTTTCAATTGAATCCATAAAATCCCAATTTTTTGACTTATTATTTATATTTCGTATTTTGTTGACTTTTAGAAAATCTTAAAACCAATGATATGAATCTAAATAAAAAATAAAGTTAATAGAAACAGAATAATGCACCAAATGAACTCTTATTAAAGGCGCATGTATGGCCGCCATGATCTATCATCGCCGCGCAAGTTAAACCGCCCGTTTGCTGTCCTAAGCCAGCCGTGAACGGTCTATACATTTTCGCGTCGATTTTTTTTTACCGCGGGGGACGGTTTTTGATGTTTTTCGATTCAACAGATGGAAAAAAAAACGTCAAAAAAATGCACTATCACTATCAAACGATCATCGTCACCTGCGATAAAACATTGACGCGAAAGATATAGCCGTGTAGCTTTATGGGTGGAGTTATAGCTGATACATGGCCAGCTTGGGACGCTAAGGGGGCGTGTCCTGTCTGCGCTGTCTCGTGCATTATCGTGCCAGGACCATTTTTTCGATGGCTCAAGGCAGCCGTGAATCAGCTATAACTCGGACGATTTATGACTCATCGTTTTTTTATTGATTAAAAATCAGTTTTTTTCGATAGTTTAGAGACATAGCTGCTTGACATCAAAAATCTGAACATACTTTATTTCGCTATTTTTTTTCTGTTTTTTCAAAGTTTTTCTTTCTCTTGCATGAGTTTCAGTTTCAATCGCGTTCAAGCGAATTTTTTCTTGCCGATTGAAATTTTTTTTCCACAGGTATTTCCTTTATTCAAAAATACCTTTGCCTTATCTTAAGAGTTTTGAAAAAGTTTTTTTCATGTTATATTGCGAAAAAAAGTTTAATATAATTCATTAAACCTGGAAAGACGATTATTGAAAGTTGAAAAGTATATTTTTCGAGCGAAAGCAGGGTAAAAAAACATTTTTTGAAAGAAAATACTTGAGCGGATTAACAAATAGAGTTCTTTGAGAAAGAGCTGGTCCCTTAAATTAAATGGACTGCAAATCGTAGATGGCGAAGGTGAACAGAACATAGAAACATTGAAGAAGGTTCATTTCGTGAAACGGACGCGAATCAGGAGAGCAACGAGTCCGATGGCGCGATAAGCGACAAATGAGAAGGCCATTATCCCGATGTTGAGCCAAACCGTCGTGTCGATACTTCGGCGGTCAAGAACTTCTGAAAGAAAATAATAAAGCATAGACAAAGTCGGAATGGTTGGGAAAAGGCTGCATAGAAATGTTCTTTTTAGGATGACAAAGGTTCCTTTTTTGCTGCCTTTTTGCGTCATTTCATCGGCTTTTAAGCACAATTTTTGCTGCCTTTCCCCTTTTATGCCATTTCTTGAGCCTTTAAAATCTTAGAGAAAATAGCAGCCTCGATTGAGGGATTTTTTTTGCTGTCTATTTTGCAGCGTTTTTTGAGCCTTTTCCTTTTAGCGGCCATTATCTACCTTTCCGACTTTGCTTGAGAGAATAATGAGAACATTGAGTGAAACTTTGAAGAAGCTCTGAGAAAGTTTGAAATTTGATAAAAAGCTTTTCACAAGTTTTTTTATTTATTGCTTTACCTATCCCCATTTTCACAAAAAAAAAACTTTTTCAGATGCCTTTTTGAAATTTCGATGAAGTGTGGCTGAAAGTATTCAGTACTTCCTGATTCAAGATGAGAATTTTTTCAACTTTTACCTTACTGTTTCGCAAGCTTCAAATAATGATTTTTCGTATATTCTGTATGATTTTCGAACTTTGAGGGCTCTAAACTCGAGGGAATTTTTTTCGGTTTTTTGGAAGAAGTTGTAAATTTAAATTTAACCGCCGAAGGCTGAAAAAATGCTCTAATCAGTCGAAAGTTTAAAAGAGGCCAGTTTTTTTCCAGCTTGGGTACTCCAGAGAGAGTATCAAACATCTAGAGATAAGAAAAGAGAAACGCAAGAAGAAAAATGAAAAAAAGTAGGCCTCCAAGTTCCAGGCAAAGCACTACAAGGAGGATAGACGGTATCGTAGAAGTGGAACAAATTTTTATTCAGCTAATCTGCAGAAGATTTTCGAAGAGATGAGGCGGAAAACAGGTTCGCTCCATGGAGAACAGATAACTTTTGTAATTTTTCAGTCTCTGCTCAGAAAGCCTAGGACTTTCAGATCTCCAGATAAAGTAGCGAAAGAAAGTTCTCTGGATGTTTTGTGTAATTCAAGACGTCATATGGGCTATTCCAAGTGAAAAACATTTTGATATGAGCTCATTCGTGTCATCAAAAAATAATAGAAAACTAACGATGAGAAAGTGATTGTTACTGGGAAGCGATCAAACGACGCGGTCGCGTCGCGGCTAACTGGACATTTTATTTTTTTATTTTTTTATTGTTTTATTCAAGTTATATATATATTTTTTTATCTTTATTGTTTTTCCTGATTTCTACGTACTTTTTGAACATGCAAAAAAATTTCAAAAAAACAAAATTCAACATCAAGAAAAATTTTCTATGAGACGTGGACCTTAAAAAACTCAGATTTCTCAAATTCAATGAATTTTGCTCTCACTAGGAACTACTCGAACTCGTAATCGCGGATCGAATTGAAACTTCAGTGGTTTATAGACCCAAGTCAGAATACTCTAAAACAAAAAAGAAAATCTGCTAAACCCGATAAAGAACTGAGAAAAACTTGGTAGAGAATGTGAAAATTAGGCCTGAAAATTTTCAGAATACTGCTTTTTACCTTATTTTATATTTTAATGCAATCTTTTTCGAAAAAAAAAAAAATGAAAAAGGCACTTGGAATGGCTTGACGGTTGGATTGTGCTCAGATAAACATTCGAATGCGAGCCGATTAAACCGCAAGCCATTCCAAATGCAGTTCTTTTCTAAGAGCCTCGGTATTTATTTCAAAGACAGCACTTCATTGACGTGAAGGCAGCCTTTAGATTAGAGCCAAAAAATGCCGTAAGTTTCCACGAACCTCGACTTTTCGAACCGAGACAGGCTTAGGCTCGCTTTCGAACAGTTTCCTCTTCCGTGTTTCTTCCTCTTCTTTCTTTGTCTCCAAATCTCTGAGTATCTGAAAAACCGAATAAAAACATCTATGAATCCTTGGGGATTGCCTCGAAATCTTCGCCATGAGGGTCCGGGGAGCTGTGGAGAATCACTTTAAGTGTCGACTTCTGCACAAAATCGTCGCATCACGGTGTTTTTTTCAATACGCAAGGTCAAGACTTTTCGTAAATTATGATGCTTAGGGTGTAAGCACACCGAGACGCAATATCGCATACTCAAAATGTTTTTTTTTTAATTTTAGAATTTGCGATTTTAGGATAATAGCTCCTGAAATGTTCGGAATTTGTCAGTTTGAAGAATATGATGTGGAAAAAACATTCACTTACGTTAAAAAACATTTGGGAACGATTTCGAAAGGGGAAAACTCTAAATTACTGATTACAAAGTAAAAACAAAAAATAATATAAAGGTGAATCAGCTCCCATTGAATAAGAAATTTTAGAAAAAAAACCTCGTATGGCGAAATTTTTGTCTAATCCGAAAAACCATCAAAAAACTAGAAAAAAATATATAATTTAGATGATTCATATATCAAAATCATTAAACTGCATCAGCAAATTCAATTTGGCTCTAATTTAAACGAAACCGGTTTTTAAACTACGTCAAAGGAACTAGATAATAACTTTTTTTATTATTAACTGATTAAATTAAAAAAACTATAGTTTCCGAAATAGAGTGACTCTTTTTCATGTCGCGAAACAGATTTCAAAAATTTTTGAAGAATTAGGACTTTTTAGAAAAAAATCTTCATCTCTTTTTGAGAAGAAAGTTAAAGATCTGAAACCGGTTTAGAAAAAAATGCGCAATTTAAAGCTCCACAAGATGTACCCATAGAGAGGCGGATTACATAAATGCAAGAAATAGAAAAAAAGTAAAAAAACCAATGAAAAAAAAGTGAAGAAATTCAATTTTTTTGCATCTGAAACCATGAGAAGGGCGCAATAATGCGCCACGGATAATATGCCGCTGGGACCCAAAATTTCGCATTTTTTTTCATTGCGCGGAACACCGTGGCATTCCAGCATCGCTCCTTAGCCCAGAGACAGCTCCGTTAACTTCTTCGTTCCCAGATCTGGAAAAGTCCTATGATTGGGATCAAAATAAAAATAATCAAGTTCTTTTTCTTGAACATTCTGCGGAAAAAAAAGATTATTGGTGTACAAAAATCTCTATTGTATATTCTTGCCTTATTGAAAGAAAATTCCGCAAACGGCAAAATTAACTATGGCTTCACATCAAAACGGAAAATTTTCATTTTCCAGTTTTTGTTGTCGAATCAGGGCTCAAAAAATTGCAAATAATTCGCCGAGTCCAGAAATGGCAGTATCATTGAACTCAGCGAATTATTTGCAATTTTTTGAGCCCAAATTCGACAATTTTAATTGAAAACTAGAGATTTTCACTTTTGACGTGAAAACTACGAAATTCAAGAGTTTGAACGGCTATATTAGGCTTCTTTTCTGATTTCCGCTGAAAACTGGCAGTATCATTGAACTCAGCGAATTATTTGCAATTTTTTGAGCCCAAATTTGACAATTTTAATTGAAAACTAGAGATTTTCACTTTTGACGTGAAAACTACGAAATTCAAGAGTTTGAACGGCTATATTAGGCTTCTTTCTGATTTCCGCTGAAAACTGGCAGTATCATTGAACTCAGCGAATTATTTGCAATTTTTTGAGCCCAAATTCGACAATTTTAATTGAAAACTAGAGATTTTCACTTTTGACGTGAAAACTACGAAATTCAAGAGTTTGAACGGCTATATTAGGCTTCTTTTTGATTACCTTCTTCTGACATTTATATCGATATTCTTGAGATTAGTTTGGTTTGTGTCCTCTTTACGTAGGGACCGCAGAGCCACGCCCACTTCGCTGTTCAAAAAAACTTCGTCATTTTTCGTTGCATTTTTGGTTCTTTTTTTATATTTTAAAATAGTTTTCTTGCACCGATTTGGGAAAAAATTAGGGGAAACATACAATCGGCTATGCTTAACAATCCTACATAAAAGGAAATAATGAGAAATAAGAAATAAGAATGTATGACGACAGTTTTTAAAACGCATTTGTGGCCGAAAACGGATAAAAATCCCGTTTTTTCTTGAAAGTTTCTGGGCAACTTTTTTCATTTTCGAATATTATAAAGCAACTAAAAACGCATATTCTGGCAAAAAATAAAAAAATTCTATGGTTGGCCTCAAAAAATAACGCAATTTGAAAATCACGATTTTCGAAATTCCTTATTTTCGAAAAACACAATCGATAATTACTGATTATATTTTTTTAAACGGTTGTTTGCAGCGGTTTGCAAATTTTAAAAACAGAAAACTAAGTTTTTCATCGACTATATAGTTCATATGAAAGCTTAAAGTTTTTGTTTTTTTGTAACGCTTTGAAAACGGCCCAAAGCGTTCTGGGCAAGTTTTTTTATTTTATAATATCAAAGATTAGACATTTCTCTACAACATATCAAAAAATAAAAAAATTCCAAGGATGGCCCGAAAAGTATGGTTAATTTGAACGCTCAAATTTGATATTAAAAATTGCGCGTCGCTGGAAATCTGCAGACACCACGGAAGGCCCGAAATTTTTCGAAAGCATGAAAATTTTTTTAAAAATTGTTTTTGTATTTCATTAAAGTTTGCAATGAGTTATGATTACTTTATTGTCGTTTTAGGCAAAACTTTTACTCCTTTTACAATTAGAAATTCTTTCCAGCGTATTTATATCCATTATGGCAGCAAAATATTAAATTTCGCTTTTATTAAATTTTTTTCGAATTTTCACAGAATCTCATGAAAAAAAAGGTCTACAAAATCATCCATGTACACGCCATGTAGACGCACATCGTTCAAAGAAAAATGAAAGATGTGAAAAATCAAAAGTAAAAACGCTTTCGCCCTTTTTTTTTCAAAAAGTCTGTGAACAATGACTTAGTGATTATACATATTCTTCAGTAAATGTTTATGTAGAATTTCGCATTTTTTTTAATTCGGTTTTTCGCTGTTCCTTCTATGCAATAGTCTTATTTCGTCGGTTGTTCTCTTATTTTACGAAATTCATTGGAAATATTCTTCCAAACTCGCTTTTCAGCAGTCTGAGTGCTCGAAGAGCAGCCCCATATTGAATAGGAAAAGTATTCAATATGAAAACTCCAACATTTCATTTAAAAACGCAAATTAATATATTTTCGAAACTTTTCCGGGGTGAATTTACGCGCAGCAAGGAACGCGCGGTACTGGGATAAGTTTTTAGGGGGCCCTATAGGGGGTAAATTAGGGCCCTCTTTGGAGGGGGCCCTATAGGGGCCCCTAAATGAAAACCCCTATAGGGACCCCTACGAATTTTTTTAGGGGTCCCTTTAGGGGGAGGGCACGGAAAAATTTCTGAAATAGCTCCGGGAGGAAATAGAGAAACCCTTATTGAATGCGAATCGTTAACACATCCGCAGTAAACTCATCTCATCGCGTTTGAAACTGTTTCCAAATTTATTGAAACGAATTGAAAACATTAAAAGCAATCAGAATCATCAATGGAAACAGATAGACATAAGTAACAAAACAACGAGCAAAAAACTGAAGATATGTATACGTAACAGGATATTCGAGGAAGCAAAAAAACTTTTGGCCGTAAAAGACCCGTATAAATATTTGACACGTCTAAATCACTGCCAACGGAAACCGTATTGATCAATCTAATAGAAGCTCTTCAAGACAATAAAGATACGCCTAAAGCATATTGATATAAGCGCTACTTGCGAAAAAATAGAAGAAAAACGCGTTTTGTCAAGGCAAATGGTTGGGCAATTTTCAATAAAAAACGGTGGGACTTCCGACACGGAAACGGTTGAAACTACTTAGATAAGGGGCAAAAAGTTTGGCACATATAAAAAAGAACAATTGAACAGTGAGCAAAAAACAACCAACGTTGACATTTGAAAGCAACTTATTGAATTGCTCGGCCCGCGGTAATCTTCCGTTGATTCTGGTTCATGTGGCGGCTCAAAATTTCCGTCGGCTGATTCCGTGCTTCTACGATCATTTATCATTATCAACATTTTCGATATACCTTTCAGAATCTTCATCGCTGCTGTAGAACCAACGCGCATCAATAAAATCGCGACTCCGCGGCATCTTAATAAAAAATTAAGTCTTCTTTAACGAGCAATAATCAAATAGAATATATAAACACGCATTTACATCAAAAACCTCCAACAAACATCATCTACCGGTGAATTTCTGACGGTTTCACCCAATCCAGTAGACCAATTATACATAGACGAAACTCTGAAAATACCAAAATAAAAAAAATACTCTGAACATATTTACATAAACCAATATATCAATTGTACATAAACGAAACACTGAAAATACTGAACCAATGTACAGATTGCCGTGTTAACTTTTATGAAGCACAAATCATTATAATACAATTTGAAACCATAACGAAAAAATCCTACTGACAACTCGCTCGTGAATAACGTATTACTTCCTTAAGCACCACAGAAATTGATGAAATATAAATACAAGTTATAAAGTTAAACTAAAACTGAGTCGACTGAGTCAACTCAAAACTTAGAAAATGAGAAAGCTTTTTAGAGAGATATTTAAAAAGATATTTAAAAAAAAAACCACGTTCGTTCCAAGGGGTCTTCGCGACCCCTTGAGGGTCTTGCAATTTTTAGGGAGCGATTTAGGACCCCCTATAGGGGGCCCTAGGGATTTCCCCCTAAAAAGGCCACTTGCAGACCCCCTATAGGGCCCCCTAAAATCACGACCCCCTATAGGGCCCCCTAAAACTTATCCCAGTATCTATAAACACGCCCCTTTTCCTGCGACCCTGACGAAAGTTTCTACACAAAAATGGTTCCCCCGATTTCGCCACTCTTTTGCTCATAACTTTTTTCATTTTTCATATTTTTCTTTTCTGTTTTCGCAGTTAGCTCTCGATTGCCATCAGCTTTCTTTTCATATAGGTTTCAACTTTATACCATAAACTTTGGAAATTGGCCTGCGGTCCCTATCTTTACGCCGGTTTCCCGATTTTGCAAAAAAAAAAACCCCATTTTTTCCGAAAATTCAATAAAGGTTAATTTTTTTCTGGTTTTTTTCTTTCAATTTTTTAATGATCTGAAAAACTGTTGGGCAGTTTGATATACCGGAGTTCCTATTAAATCCAAGTTACGTTGAGAATCTCTTATTTTAAAGAGAGATTC